ACGCGAGTGGCTGGGGGGACGATCTGCTAAAGCTTGTCCGTAAATATGGGCTTCTAGACAGAGTATGTAGTAACAAATTGACCCTCTAGGGGGCAGTGCCACTTTTGATGGCAGATGAGCATAGACTGTAGGCAAATAAGAAAAAGGTAACGGTTCGCTATGAGAGAACATGTCGCCGGTGAGACGCAAGTCGAGGAAGAACGGAATAAGGTAGAAACAAGAATTTTTTCTTGATGAAAGAAGAGAGTCTACTCTTTCTTTTGGTGTGTTCGGTGTTTACATAGTCATAGCACAAACTATTCTGTGGCTCTTGAAAAATCAGTCAAAATGCTCAAAAAACTCTGGCAGTATGGGACTTTCTGTTCTGAAAATGGCTGGAAGTCAATGAGTTAAAGAGGTTAAAGGTGGGGGGGGGACTCACCCTGTATGTTCCTGTGCTTCATCAGTACACTGAGGGCGTATCTGATGGTGGAGCTGGTGGTCTCTGTTCCCGCCAGGAACAGGTTCATCACTGTGGCCACCAGGTTTTCATAGTGGAACTCACTTGTGGCCAAGTCCTTTTCCTGGAATTTAAGGTGATGAGAATAAACACTAAATATGTCTGACTGTTTAAATCTGGGAATTCAATCCGTTCAAAGTCAAGCAAACGGGACAAAGTGGCAGGGATTTATTCGAACAGAAATGTAAAGAGTTAATACTTTTCTTTCTTTCTTTTTTTTACAAACTTTATAGTTTGAAGTATGTTTAAAGTCTGGCCCCAACTCTTCTTCTTTTGTCCTCCACTTGTCCAGTTTTCTCAAATGTTTTAGGAAATCCTGTTTCCTCTCTGTCAAACTGTATTTTCTTTGGCTTTTTTCACAAATCAGCCAAAGAAATGGAACAAATTCTGTGTCTTTGTGAAAGACTTCTGCTGACAAAGAGCCTAAAGATCCACTTTAAACTGCTGCTCGGCTGATTGGACACAAGGCTGGCTCACCCCTTGAGTTAGGGGCCTTTCTCTGCCTGGATAGTTCAACAAAGAAAGAAGGAGCAGCTCAAAGTATTGTCCAATAAAGCTGTAAGAAAGATCCTCAGAAAGCCTGGAGGACCATTACTCAGGATAATAATTACAAGCGCCAAATCTAAGAGGAAAAAAACGGTTCTCTGCTTTTTAGTTTTATCCATCAAACTGATTTCCAACCTGTTCGCTTCGGATGAGGTAGCAGTCGATGTAGTCTCTCGGGGCGTTCAGGTCCAGAGTGTCTTTGTGCTCCTGGATCTTTGTCTTAACGAACTCCCTGACGTCTTCGATGAGGCCGAAAGCGGTGTGGTGGTAGCCAGGGAGACGCTCCATGAGCCGGGGGAAGAGGTTGTACAACTGTGGGAGGTAAAAGCACCTGACAGTCAGCGTGTGGGACAACCACTCCTAAACCCTGATATGTAGTCTGTAAAAGTGTTAAAGGACATATTCTTCCAATGCAAATCTCAATTTAGGAGTTTGGAAATCCTTTAAAAAACAACAAGAACCTAAATCTGAATTTAGTCTGAGAAGACCAACGTATTTTAGGAACTTGGATATTGACTGTCCTCAACCAGTGTTTGCTTTTAATAAGTCTTTTATAGCCCTTTATTTTAGTGTTTGTTTGTTTTTCCAAAGGAAAACTGGGTCAGTATTGGCCTGTTTTAATAGTGGGTTGACAGGAAAGTGGGTGGAGTCTGAGAGCAGCCTGAGACCACTTTAAAAGGGTTTTCTCTTACATTTAATGTTATCAGAAAAGTCAAATATGGCATTCATGTGCAGGATAAAGCTTCCGTGTTATCTTTTGAACAGCTATAGATTAAAAAATTATTTAGTAGCTCCTTAAAACAGGGGTCTTCAAGGTTTTCCAGGCCAAGGAGCCCCAAACTGATGGCGAGATGGAGCGGGGACCCCCTAATTATATATATTGTGTTCTATCAAACTGGTCCTATAGTGTGTAAATGTTCCTTGTTATTGGGCATTCAGTACTAAGATATTCAGATAATCCACAGGTTGATATCTTCCTGTTTTTACTGTAAACATCTGGTTCTGGTTCTTGGTTGGTGGGACAGGTGTTGTGAATGAAACGGGGCCCAGCTTGAAA